TCTCTCTCTCTCTCTCTCTCTCTCTCTCTCTCTCTCTCTCTCTCTCTCTCTCCATCCGCAAAATGCACTACGACTAATATTCTCCCTTCGTTAATTCGACCAAACGAGCAGTTTGCACACCCTTGACTATTATTCTCCATTCTGATTCTTCTTCCATTTAGACGCGAGAACAAAAGAATCAACGTCCTCCGGGTGGCAAACATTTCGACACCGTTCCGCTCTTTCTCCCTCTCCTTGTCTTTCTCCCTGCCTTTTGTGCAGCCTCGGATAATGCGCCGACGACGAAAAAGTATTTAAAGGATTTATGCAACGCGGCGGGAAAGAAAGTCGATGCTCGTCGTGGCGGGCAGGAAATGGGACAAATCCAAGCAGGTTTTTTTCTCCCTTTTTTTTAAGGAGATGCGTGTACTTTCGTCGACCGTTTAACAACACGGAAATGGACAGGAAGGAATTCAAGGAAGCATTTGCATATTAATTTGCGCGTGGCTTAAATCGGATCTATAATATTTCGTCGAAAATTTGTTGTAATTTTATTCGTTACAGCGGAAACGGATATGCTTGGAACGATTTTTTCCTTTGTTACCGATAATGGATAATTTAGAGCGGGTATAAAATTTTTTGAAGTGGATGAAGCTGGAATGCGAGATTGTAATTTTTTTCTTTTTAATTCCTCAAGGTGAATAATATTGATGGAAAACAGCGGTCTAGACGGGCAAAAAACACGAATCGCTCGTGAAACGTGGAATCCAAGCCTTGCATAAGCGACCGATGATAATTTAGAATCTTTCCATGAAAAAAACTCGAGCCAACCAACATCTTGTCCCTCCACAGAATACCGTGAACAATATATAATAATTCGTGCAGCTCATTTGCAGCTGATCTAATCCCGATCGAGTGTAATGCTCGATTTCCTCGATTCGTTTCTTGGATCAGTGTTTCACCCGTAATGAAAAGTTTACAACAGGAGTTGTAAAACAGAATTTTCGCACGAAGAAACTGGGGAAGGAAAGATCGATAAGGCGATAATTCGTAGAGGAACGAAAGGAAAGACGTATGACGTCTAAGCAAATTTTAGTTTTCCTCGACGCGTAATGTAACTTTGCGGATATGGTTTGCTCTATGGATGTGGATCTAATGATTTTTGTAAATGGAAGAGATCGCGTCGGATGAAGTGTACTTTGCATCGTCAAACACAAGTTCTAGTGAAATTCTATTCCTGTCTAAAATAGGATTCATCGTTTAAATATTCGCCTTCGCTAAGGAACGATGAAGAATCGATTCTCTTCTCTTGTTGAGTCGGAACAAATATTCCGTGAAAAAAAAAAATTTCTTTTATCGTTTTCCATCGTAACGTCAAGATAATTTGCATATATTAAAAGAAGAGAGACGTTTTCGAAGTTTTAAGAGGAGTGTGATTAAATTTTACAAATATCGCGTGTCTCGAAATACTCGGTCGCGAAAGTTAATGGATTGAAAGGGACATTGATGGACACACTTTTGCTTTTTTCCCATCAACCTTGAAATGCAGCGGTCGTAAAGAAGAGAGAGAGACCCGAGATTTTCGAGGTGAACCTGTTCCACGATCAGGGTCAACGATGTCATTTTTTGGCGGATGGATGGAGAAGGATGGCTCGTGATCCGACTGCAAATAACGCCGCGGCTCAAAATGCTTGCACGAGAATTCGAAAAAAGGTATATTGACCTGGGTTCGCGTCGACGATTTCCCAAACGTTCCGATCATCCATCGTAAAAATTCGAAATCTTCAAAGTTGCAAGGCAACAACGATCGAAAACTGGTTTCTTTTTAACACAAATTAATGAAATGTTTTTCCTCAGCCGAGAGAAGTTTAGCACGATCGATTTCATGTTTCCATCCCCACGGTACAGGTCGATATTTATTGGCGCGAGGATCGAAAGGAAGGGGGTTGTAAAATTTCATCGAGCAAACTCCACTCGGGCAATAATTGGCAACCGACCAACCAACTTTTGCCTCCAAAGGGGGGTGTAACGAGCTAAATCGGCCACCTTCTTCTTCTTCTTCTTCTTCTTCTTCTTCTTCCAGGGAAGGATCTATG